ATATATTTGAAATGAGAACTAAACACACTAGGAAAATAAACTTATTTTAACTTATATGTTACTTGTATATGTATTTGTGTGCATCTCACACCACAGCATAGGGTTTATAAACTTTCATATTCTATTACTGTTTTAAGTCAAATTTAGTCTGCTTTGTGCTTCCACCCACCTGGTTGGTAAAAAATTCAATGTCAGTCCTTCTGGGGTCTCCTCAATAGCTCCATGTGATCACATAAAATTTCTAGATTTCTGTGGTGACCGAAAACCAGGGAAATTACCCAATCCATAATTCCATGAATGTTACCATCTTTACTATTGCTCTTTTGGCTGCATTGTTGCTAGTTCAGAATTCTGAAAACTACCATCTATCTGGTGGGCCCTGAGGCTTCAAACTGACAGGGTTGGCTCTTAAACTCCTGTCCATTCGTCTCAGGCTCAGCCTTGACAATTTTTTCTACTCCCTTAAAGTTTTAGCATTCGTACGTGCAAGATCAGTCCTCATGAAATGTCCAACATCCCTACCAACAAAGCAAAGCAAAAAAAAACCCCTTATGTTTCTTTGAAATCTTAGACCACTCTGAAATGTTCTTCATGTCTGTAGTTGAGCAGTAGCTTTTATAGTCTTGACTCAGGTTCAGGGTACTCTTCAGAATCTTTAATTCTGTATGATAGCCCAGGCTACCCAAAAATGGTGGAAAAAGGGGTTGTTCAGATACCGAAGTATTCGGTTTTCAAGGGGCCTGTGGAAGCACACCCACCAGGGCTTAATAGAAGACAAAGCAACATTGAGTTTTTAGTTGCATATTAAGTCCCCATGTGCCTCGCAGGCAGAGTATGAATTTGGGTTACTAAAATTATCTCTCATATCTGATTCTCTTCTGGAATGAACCACAACTTCCCCTTCTTCCTTCCCTGCTCCAACGAACTTTTAAAAGTTGAAAATAGTTCTAAGGAGTTCAATTTCCACCAGGTGGAGCTCACAGTGGACAGTTTACTCAGAGCATCCTCTCCCTGTGCCTGGTCATGCTGGGCCTGAGCCACACTTTCTGGATCTATGCCTCCTCTGGCCAAGGCCAAGTCTCCAAAGTGTCTGGTCTTGGAATCAATGTTGAAACCTTTAACCAGCCCTCTGGTTGGCATTTAAAAAGCTGATCAAGTTCTAAACTTGTTCTAAGCTTGTTCTAAAGTACTCAGACATTCAGCCACAGAACTGAACACTTGAAATTCAAATGGCCTCCAGCTCTGAGATTCTAATCCCATTTTATCATTGTAGTGTTCTATGACTTCAGATAATTTCCATTCCTCTAGCAATGAATTCTTTTCAAATATCGTCTCAACCAACCCAGTTTTATCCCCTTCAAAAATCAAAAACAAAAAAACAAAAAAACTCAGTTTGGGACTAATTTTATAATTTTCTTCGTGGGAGAATACTGTTCCCTACTTCCAGTCAAAACATTTCAGCCTATGTATAAATGATAAGTTTAGGGGATATATGGAAATTTCAGCAGAATATGACAGAGGTCTACAATTCATTTCATCTGAGCTTCAGCAGAAATACAGGTTTTGCTGTGATCCATTACACAAATTTGCATGTATTTATAGGTATATAAAAATACAGATAATAAAAATAAAATAATTCAGACTCTTACTATATGTGATGAAACCAAATATTTCCATTTTATTCTATTGTACTTAATTTAATGTTTTAAAAATGCTTTTTTTGTGATTCTCCGATTTGATTTCATGATTCACCTACGGGTCTCAAAAGGCAATCTGAAAAACACTCCTCTAGGACTGTGGGGACATTGGCTGTTGTGTGTTCATCTCTCAGATGGAAATGGTAAGTTATTTTTGAAATTCATAGTCTGAGATAGGGGACTTAAATTTCTTCTTCTATATTCTTTATTTCTTAGTAGTCTCTTGGGAATCACAAAGAAATTCATTGGAAAAAAGCTATTTCTCTCCCTTTATTGAACATTCTGCCAATTACTTTATATCTGTTCACAGTTCTTAAAATTAGCTCCCTTCACACTTAATCTCTTATCAGTTCACTGGTATTCACCAGATCCACAGAGCTCTTTGAGTGCCCACTATGCATTAATTCTCCAACATGGTTATAACCATTATCTCAAAATTAACTACCCCCAATTCTAAGTATTACAATTCATCTTCCTTATAAATATATGTTGCACAAAGCTTTGTAATAATCCCCAATTTATTCCATATATAACTGGCATTAATTTTACTTATTCAAGGCTAAGAAATTTCATAATGACTCATCCTTCTAAATCAAATATCCTCCAAGGCTCTACATAACTCGCTGGCCATAAATTTAATTCAGTCAATATTGGGATTCCTTCCCATGAAACATAAAATAAATTCTTAGTTTACATGATATCTGAAAAATAGTCCATCATTATTTCCACCTTACTATTGCTCCTTTAGTTTCACATTGCTGTAATTGAGCAGTGATGCTGACTGCCCCTCAGGCAGTGGTACTCTCGAGTTTAACCAAACTCAGAGGTTCACGTCACCCTAATTCACTCTACTGACCTCCACCCTAATTCACTCCACCGACCTCCACTGATGGCAGCACACATCAATCTTCAGTCTCATCCCCAGTGTGGAATAATATTATGCCATCTGGACAGGGTTTCTGTAACATGCAGAAATGCCAAAGCCCCTTTGATAAATCCCAGGTAACTTCATACTCTTGGACTAGCCATATCTTCTGTTCCCACTGAAAACTCACTTTTATTGCCTACTTCCCTGGAATAATTCAGCCTAAAAAAATATGTTGTGCATTTCCCTCTCAAACATGTTACTGTGGAAACTTGGATTTTTAAAAACAATGAGGATTTCTGACTTTTAGGGAATAGAGTGAATATGGAAAGGAAAGATGCTTTATTCTTTCATTGTAAGTATCCACAACAGCAAAGAAACCTAAGATAGCAAGTGTGAGTGTGTGTGTATGTGTGCACGCACACATGCACACATATGTGTGACAGGGAGAGAGATAGGGAGATGGTGAGAAAAGAGGTTCTTTTTACAAATTCATTTTATGCACTTAAGTTTATGTTCTTTTAAATTCTAGAGAAAGTCTAATAAGACAGCATAAAAAAAGGTACATAAACTCTTTAAACACTTCCCCTTGATTCACTAGAACAAATATGAGATTAAAGATTATTTATTACCTTAATTGTTAAAATTGAATGTCCCATTGAATAAATACAAGATTGAAAACAATAAAATAGAGCATACAAATTAATACTGGGAGAATTATAAAATTATACTTTTTATTATTCCCAGAAAAGAAAGACAGCTTGTATTTTTTGAAGAAGCATAGCATTTGGGATTTAACCAACTCTGCATCTGTGAGACTTCAAAAATGGACCTAGTCTAGATTGATTAGGACAACCTTAACCATAAAAGGCAATCAGTCCTGTGTTCTTAGCATGGCCGGGATAATCACACATGTCCTAGGCAATCAAAAGAATTAATAAAAAAATATGGAAACTGATAAAAAGAAGGATTTTCATCCTTTCTTGACTAGAAAGAAATATCACTGATAACATCATATATAAGAAGATACCAGATAATCAATGTCAGGGATGATCATTGATTTCCTTCTCATGCATGGCACAGAAATACAGTTGTTCTAGTTTGATTAACTCCAATACTATTCTTATTACCATGTGTGTAATAGTGACAGGAATAACATATAATGATTATGTAGTTTCTCTCATTTTTTACTGACCAGAATAGATAAAATTGAACACTCAGCAAACTAAAAAGATTAAGACTTTTGTTTTTTTCATCATAGCAATTCCAATGATAATTGACTCCATCGACATTTTTTCAGTTGGTTTCTTTCATTTTTTGATGTTAACTTTGCAGTTTTCAAGTCTCTGTTTCTACTTAAGATTGCTTAGTGCTTTCAAATTGTCAGTCCTAAAATTCTTAAAAACATATTTGATTTACTATGGATGTCCAAATTTTCATATATGTGAGTGTGTACAAACACACATACACACACAGCATGAACAAGGAAAGAAGAAAAAGAAAGAAGAAGGAAAGATAAAACTTATCTTAGAGTTAGAATGCAAGTTAGGATGTCCAATTGTTCACATTAGTGCTTTAGTTCACTTCAAGTGTATATTAGTTTTGCTAATAACTTTGCCAAGTTATTTTGCAGTAATAACTTAGTTTAAAATCTTAGTGGCCTACAAAAACAAAGGTTTATTTCTCACTCTTATTACTTGTCCTTCACAATTCACCGTGCTTTGCTTCTTATTGTCTTCACTGTAGAACCGAAACTGAAAGAATAGCCCTATCTTGTTTTCGTGGCAAAGGAGGAAGAATAATATTGGAACCAATGGTGTTACACGTCTCTTTTACTCACCAGTGGAACACCAATGGAACACCAAAGGAACAATGGTGTTACATGTCTCTTTTACTCATATTCCACTGGTCAGAGCACTCACATAATCAATGGGGCATGAAACAGCAGTACAATCCTCTCTCAGGGAGGGATGCTGCAGGTCACATGGCAGTGGGCGATAATGTATTCACACACTCTCTCTGTGTACATGTGGGGGTAAACAATTAGAAATAACAAAACCTCTACTATAGAGTCTATGTCAATATTTTCTTCCTTGTAAATTCTACTAAAATGGTATTCTAGAGTAACTTAGAATAGGCCTACCTGGAATTGGTTTTACTTCATTATAAGCATATTGTTGGGGCCTTCTTGTTCTCTGTTTACTTCTAATGCAATAAAATAACATTAGAAAATGAGAGGAAGATAAGACCAATATCCAAAGTTTTAGTTAGAGAACTTATATTTAAAAACCAAACTGCTCAGGGCACCTGGGTGGCTCAGCTGGTTAAACACCTGACTCTTGATCTCAGGATTGTGAGTTCAAGCCCTGTGCTGAGCTTGGGGAAAAAAGCAATTTTACTAGCAGTGGACTTCATTCCTGGAAAGGAAAAGAAAGTATCTACAAATCTACACTTGAGGAGTGTGGACAGTTCTTAGCTTTTAGGGAACAATCAGGATCAGTGCTTCCTTTTGCTTCCTGAAGGGTAAGCCCTAAAGAGAAGATAGGAAGAGAGAGGAACATCATCTCCCCTTACATATAAAGAGAAGCAGTAAGTGTAGGAGGATCAGAGCTGCTGAGGCAGGCTACGGACTTGAATGTGCTCCCTCGGTTTTTTCCTTTTCCTAAACTTGTACTTCTTTGAACCATGCCTTCTCAGGTTTTGTACTTCTTTTTCCCATGGGCTTACAAGGATCATGGTTATGGTGGATAAAACTAATTTTATTTTTTCCCTATTCTTTCAACATAAAAGCACAAAGAGAATAATATGTTCAATTACTTTATAGTATTTAGGCTAGAAGTTTGTCAGAAAAAAAGATTAAATTAATGGAAGTAATAAAGGTACTCATTTATACATACCATCTGCTTCTTCAAATTAATATGGACATTTCAGAAACAGCTTTAAGCATATTTTATAAATAACATATATAGCGATTCTGAAAAATATATAGTGTTAAATATAGACTTTCAATAAAGACAAGACATAAGCTATTATTTGAAAATTTAGGGGCCTTTCTAAATATTGACTTATTTTAAAATTAAGAATAAACTTCAATTTAGTAATTTTAGACACTGTGCAGCTCATAGGGAATCCAGGAAATTATTTATTCATAACAAGTAAGTACTGCTCGATATAGTCAAGCACATTATCTGAAACAAAACTCAAAAACTATTATTTTCTTGCATCTGTAACATTTGCTAACATGATAGGTTTAAATTCTAACTTAATTAAGATATGCTCCCTTTCAACACCATACATTTTAGAGATCTAGTTATATGGCATATCTTTAATGTAGTCCAATTTTTACATAAGTCTTACTTAAAATCCAATATAACATAAAAATAAATAGCCATCAATTTTCTTCTGCTTTATATACATAATATTTCAGTATCTTTAACTTTGTAAACTTATTTTAAACTGTAAAATTGGCACTTAATAATGTCAGAATTTTGATTAAATACTGTATCATATCTTTGGATGAAAAATATAAAACAAGACTTGCTGGAAGGCTCTACATTATTTAATTTAATATTCATTCATCAACACTGGATTAAATCTAAATTCTCTAGGTTTAATTTTACTACAAAATAACCTAAAATTTCTTGCAGTGATTTAAAGATTTTATAGCTCCCTAATGGTGAGAAAGTTTACCTTGATATCTCTGGGTAATATCAAAGATGTTAATGCCAAAGGAGTATAAGAAGCATTGCCTAGCCAGTTGAGATTTAGATACTGCTTCTTGCAAAACGAATATGGAAGAGCAGAAGAGAAATGCAGCCATCTCTTTTTAACAGCATTGTTTAAGAGCATGTTTACATAAAATATAGAATATATGATGTGCTATAAAGAAAAATATTTTTCTGAATCAAATGTTAATGATCCTTAAAATTGTGTAATTGATTTGCTTCGTTTAGTTTACATTCTACTTTTCTTCTCAACCACTATTTTTCAATGTTTCCTCAAGAAAGTAAGCTTTGTCCTCATAACAGTACTATAGTGGATACCAACAAATAAATGGCACTAGATTCTTAACTACCCAACAGGCTTTTATATACAATAACGGAATAGTTACCAGGACTTCCAGTTTCCAGTCCGGTATACAAGAAACTTAGAAATCACCACCCTGTCCTAACGAGTAAAAAGCTAAACAAATTGAAAAATCAACAACTATTTTTAGATTCATAAAAGAAGTGAGATCACAGGGTAAACTGCTGCCCTCCAAATCACAGAGAACTAGAGGTGAATACAGAAAATCACAATTTACTGAAGCAGGTACCTCCCCAGGAGCCAGTTTTTAAAACCTGCTGTATAATTGAGAAATTGCTAGAGGTTCAGTCTGGACAAGTCTGAGACTTAAAAGCTCCAAGAAGATCCAGTCACTGGGAGTCCCCCATACTTTTGTGAGTTTTATCTCCTGGATCTCTACTAGGTTCTCATTGTGTATATATTAGAGAAAAATCTCATTGTTCTGGCAGGGGAAGGGGAAAAGAAACTTTTTTTGAAATATGCCAGAGCATTCTATTCTTAACAAATTCTGCCCTTAGGAGAAACTAACAAGAGCCTAACCTACTGAGCCTAACTGACCTAGGGGAAGAAAAATACCCAACTCTAGCTCCCTCCAGCCATCCTGCACCATCTAAATTTGGTGCAGAGGGGATGATAACTGAGAAGCACATGTAAGGTTCACATTCCAGAAACAAAGACTTACCAAAAAAATGAGACCTACTCACAGGACTATAAAATGCTTCTCCTCCCCCCATACCTTACCACCAAATTACTAAAAGCCTATTTACAGCAGTTCCTTTTACCCAGTACATCATGCCCAGCTATCAAGAAAAAAAAAATTACCACACAGGGGCACCTGGGTGGCTCAGATGGTTAAGCGTCTGCCTTCGGCTCAGGTCACGATCACAGGGTCCTGGGATCGAGTCCCACATCGGGCTCCTGGTTCAGCGAGGAGCCTTGCTTGTCCCTCTGCCTCTCTCCCTGCTCATGCTTTCTCTCTCTCTCTCTCTCTCTCTCTGTATCTCTGTGTCTCAAATGAATAAATAAAATCTTTAAAAAAAAAAAAATTACCACACATATTAAAAGGCAAAATACAGGTGGAAGAAACAGAGCAAGCATCAAAACCAGATGCAAATATGGCAGGGATATTGGAATTATCAGACCAGGAATTTAATACAACTGTGATTACACAAAGGCCTCCAATAAACAAAATAGACAAAAATGGGCAATGAAAACAAAAAGATGGAAATTCTAAGAAAGAACCAACATGAAATGCTAGATCAAAAACACTCTAACAGAAATGAAAAATGCCTTTGAAGGTCGTATTAGTACAATGGACACAGTTGAGGAAAGACTTTTTAAGCTTGAGAATATCTCAATAGAACTTTCCCAAACTGATAAGCAAAGAGAAAAAGACTGGGGGAGAAAAAGAATACTGATGAACAATGGTACAACTCACAAGATGTAACACATATGTACTGGTAATAACAGAAAGAGAAGAGAAAAAGGAAAAAAAATTGAAACAATAATAATTGAGCATTTCTCCAAATTATTGTCAGACACCAAGTAAAGATCCAGGAAGCTCAGAAAATACCAAGGATAAATGCCAAAAAAACAAAACAAAACGAAACAAAAAAACAACCCTACACCTAGACATATATTTTTCAAACTACAGAAAATTAAAGATTAAAAAAAATTCTTTTTTTTTTTAGATTTTATTTATTTATTTATTTATTTATTTGGGCGGGTAGAGAAAGAGAGACAATGAGCAAGAGGAGGGGCACAGAGGGAGAGGGAAAAGCAGACTCCCTGCTGAGCAGGGAGCCTGCCCTGGGACTCCATCCCTGGACTCTGGGATCATGACCTGAGCCGAAGGCAGGCACTTAACCAACTGAGCCACCCAGGTGCCCCATTAAAAAAAAAAAAAAAATCCTGAAAGAAACCAGAAGAAAAAAATGCCTTACTTATAGAGGAGTAAAGAAAAGAATTACAGAATTACATCCAACTTCTCCTGAGAAACCATGTGCCACAGACTTAATGCCCCCCCACCCCGAAATTAGTATGTTGAAATCCTAATCCCCAGTGTGATAGTATTTGGAGGTGGGGTCTTTGAGAGGTGATTCGATCATGAGGGTGCAGCACTAATAAATGGGATTAGTGTCCTTATAAAAGAGACCCCATAGAATTCCCTCACGCTTTCCACCATGTTAGGATACAGCAAAAAGGTGGCTATGAATCAGGAGGTGGACCATCACCAGACACCAAATCTGCTGGCACCCTCATCTTGGATTTCCCAACCTCCAGAACTATGAGAAAAAAATAGCTCTTGTTTATAAGCCACCCAGTTTGTGATATTTTGTTATAGCAGTCTGAATTGACCTAAACACCATGCAAGCAAGAGAATGGAGAAAAATATTCAAAGTATTGACAGAGAGAAAACAAACAAAGTGAAATTATCCTTCAAAAGTGAAAGAAAAATAAAGTTTCTTTCAGACAAACAAAAATTGAAAGAATTTGTTGCCAAGAGATCTGCCTTGCTAGAAATATTAGAACATGTTCTTTAAAGAGAAAGAAAATAATATAGGTCAGAAACTAAGATCTACACAAAGAAAGCAAGGACATTAAAGAATGTATAAGTAAGGGAAGAAAATTATATCTTATTATAGTTTTAATTTGTATTCCTTTGAATACTATTAAAAGTAAATATTTTTTCCAAATTAATATATATAGATATAGTCACTAGTAACTTTTTTATCTTTTTTAATTAATATTCCTATAGCTAAAATCAATACATTTTAGCAAATGATGCTGCAGCAGTTAAACAACCATGACCAAAATAAATACACAAGCCTTGATATAAAACCTTATGCTTATAGAAAAATTAACTCAAAATGGATCATAAATTTCATTGAAAGTTTAAAAATTATAAAATTTTTAGAAGAAAATAGAGGATGAAAGACTAGGCAAAGGGTTCCTGGACCTGACAACAAAAAGCACAATCACTAAAAGAATATAATAGATTCAACTTCATTAAAATTATTTTTTTTCTGCAAAAGATTCTGTCAACTGTGTGAAAAACAATTTCCAAACTGGGTGAAAATATTTACAAACTGCATGTCTAGAAAGAGTAACAAAGCCCAAAGGATTCAATTGGTAAAGAGGCAAAAGATATAAACAGGCCACAGAAAATATACAGATGGTAAAAAGCACAAAAAGGTGTCCAAAATCATTGGTTATTAAGGAAATACATATTAAACCACAATGGAATAGCACCATGTACCTTTTAAAATGGTTACAGTTACAAAATATGATAATATCAAATGCTGATAAGGATGCAAAGAAACTAGATCCCCCATACATTGCTGGTGGGAACATAAAACAGTACAGCCCCTCTGAAAAATCATTTGGTAGTTTCTCATAAAATTGTATACACTTAGCATATGATCCAACAATTGCATTTCTGCACATTTATATCAATGAAATGAAAACTTAATTTCACATAAAAGCTTGTATATAAGGGGCACCTGGGTAGCTCAGTCGGTTGAGCATCAGACTCTTGATATGGGCTCAGATCATGATCTCAGGGTCCTGGGATTGAGCCCAGCATCAGCCTCTGTGCTCAGCATGGAGTCCACTTGAGGTTTTCTCTCTCTCTCTCCCTCTGCCCCTCTACCTGCTCACATGCTCCCTCTCTCTCTTTCTCTCTCTCTCAAGTAAATAAGTAAAAATCCTTTAAAATTTATTTAAAAACTTGTACATAAATCTTCATAGCAATTTTATTGTTAATAATCAAAAACTAAAAAAAGTCCTAAATGGGTAGATAGTTAAACTGTAGTACATTCATATAATGGGATACTACTCAGAAATACAAAGAAACAAACTAGTTATACATGCGACAACTTGAATGAATCTCAAGGACACTAAAAAAATGTCCAATATCAAAAGGTTATATATTATATTATTCCATTTGTATAACATTCTTGAAATGGCAAAATAGAATATCTTGAAAATGATGAACTTTTAGAAAAGGCAACAGATTGGTGATTGACAGAAGATAGTGATGGTGGAGGTCGGTGAAGGGAGTGTAAGGGAGTGTAAGGGAGGTAAAAGGGAGTTCCTTTGAGGCAACTGGAACATTTCTTTATTGTTGTACTTACATGAATCTCTGAGATAAAATTGCATAGAACTACACACACGTACATGAGTATATGTAAAAACTGGTAAATTCTGAATAAGGTCTGTAGTTCAGTTAAGAGTATTGTGCCAAAGCCAATTCACTGGTTTTGAGATTATACAAACAGTTAGGTAAAAGGTAAGCATTGGAAAAACTGGATAAAAGGTCACGGTATTCTCTTTACTATTTTTGCAACTTCTATGACTCCATAATTATTTCAAATTAAAAGTTTTAAAAATATAAAATTTAACAAATTAAATTTTCCCAAACATTTATACACTGATGTAAATGTGTTTAATCAAATTCTTACATTCATTAATTTCTCAAGTTTAATATATCAGATTATTTAAAATGTTTAAGCACTATAGGAATTGGGACTTTCAGTGTCTGCTTAGTATTAAGGGGAAAAGAGTGTTGTGCCCACCTACTAACATCTAGGAAAAGCTAGATAATTTATTTAACCATGACTTTTTTTGAACTATCAGAGAATTGATATTTCAGGGCAATCAAATAGCCTGAAATTCAATTAAATACAGGCAAGCCCAAAGACAGGATTCAAGCATTGCTTACCTAGGACATAGCACAGAAAAGAGATGAAGTTGGCATTCAAAAATGGGTAAAAAGAATTTGACCAAATTTGTAACAATTTCCTGAAATATGAGTGTAGGATAGCATAAGAGCATAAAGCCTCCTGGAGCCAGAAATGCAAAGGGAGTTTACATCCATTCACATACTCTTCACACACTTCACCATATCATATGGGCAGGGAAGGAATCAAGAAAAGTCTACTTGGAGGTACAAATCTGGGGGAAGAGAACATCTACATTGTGAATAATAGAAAGTCCTGCCTGGATCCTTCTCTACAGAATAAAAGCCTAAGCCTAGGATGGGCAGCAAACTCTAATAGGTGAATACTCATTTTGATTGGGAGGTGAAGGGGAAGGGAATGGAACAGTTTTCTCTCTTCTTCTTGGGGGAAGATAGAAAAACCTCCTGGGTTCAGACCATTTGAGAATCATTACCACTGAGGGAAGGATGTAATCATTGAGAAGGCCAAGAACCAGGAACAGGAAGCCTGCCTAAGACTGAATCTAAACCAGGATATCAGAAAGCACATAAAGCATAGCCATCCTTGCCCCAAACCTACTGTCAGGTTAACAAGCATGGACTAATAATAAAAAGCAGTCCGCCACTGGGAGAGGGACAAGAATATGAAGAGAGAACGTCTGAAACATGCAACACACAAGGAAAGCCTAAGGCTCAGAGTAGAACAGGAACACTGAGAAAAACCTTCCAATAATCTAGTCCCCCACCCACAAACACAAAGTAACACTAGACCACCCACTTGAACCTGGTGATGTAACAATAACAAAAAACCTAGCTTTGCTACTACCTATATTTACTCAAAACACCAACTGAAGGCCTAGGAAAAGAAGATGCATGCCCATTTCCAGGTGCCAATAATATTTATCTCAACTTCTATTTGTCTACAGATTATGTCTGTGCATGATGAACACACAAAGTCACACACACACACAGACACACACACACACACAATGGACCTAATTTCCTTTTCTAGATACCTAGGATAAAGCAAGTTTAATTCAAGAGAAGCATGCTAGTATATCACGGAACAAGCTGTTTATGAAATACTGAATACATCCCAGAAATCACTCTGTAACAGGTAGGAAGAGATAGACCAGTCAGAACATAGAGTCATAGGATGTAGTAGAAATGAGAATCAATTGATAATTAGATCCAATATTATGGAAGGAATAGCAGATTTTGAATTTGATACAGTACTAGCTTCTCCTCAAACTATTTTGCCTGATTGTCCCTAAGAGCTGAAAGGAACATAAACACATGTTCCTCAGGATTCTGGAAGTATAGTTGAAGCTACCTGCCACTTGCTAAAATTACCTTGAAGTCTCATGTGTTACCTTTAAAATTCAGGAGAAATTTCTATGCTAATAATTAATACTTATTACTTACCAAAGTTTTAAACTGCTGCCCAAATATTCATGCAGTATTGACACTTTATAAAACATGCTGTGCTTATCCCGCGACGACCGGTATGGCCTGCCACAATGTAGCCCTAAAATATACACCCCACTGTTTCAAAAGCATGGCATAGGCAGTAGGTAGCTTTTTTTTCCATTCTTAAACAAAGGTGAAAGTGCACTTTTAAAAAGATTTATCTGAAAACTAACACCTCAGACTTCATTTTTGGCAAAGCACTTTCATATTTGACCCTTACATTAACCTATGGCAATATGGTAGAGAAAGTATATTCATGTCCATTTATAAACAGATGAGGAAATTGAGACATAGAGAATTTAAATTGCACAGTTAGCTAGTAGCAGAGCCAAGAAGAGAACATATTTGGTAACTCTACGTCCAACGCCAATTCTAAACTTCCTAATCACCCTAGAGCAAAATAGAGTATAAAATCAATTTATCTTCAATCACATTCAAGAGAATTTAGTTCCACCAGTACCATAAAGTAGATTTTGCCCTTATAGGTCACACTAACATATATTCTAGGGACAGCATTACGTAAGTTTTCTAGTATAAGAAGTTTTCATTTGCTGGGTGCCACTGACACAGATGTCTTTTTTTTAGGGCTGAAATGTTACTGATTGTATTTAAAAGAATGGAACTGCCCTGACCAAATTTACTTGGAAAGAAGGAAGGAAGGAAGGGAGGAAGGGAGGAAGGGAGGAAGGGAGGAAAGAAGGTCCCCTCTCCCCAAACCTCATTGAAAGTAGTCAATATGTCAGTGAGACATTTTTTATAAACCATTTGGGAGTTCTCACTGCATTTCCTTAATTTTTACAACTTTTGTGGTCAATTAAGAACCCACCAGAAACAAGGAAGGACTCAGTTACCTTCCTGCTCTGAGGTTGGCTATTTGCAAGATACTAACCTGCTCTAGTTGCACTCGCTGAATACTATCCTCATTGCTACCAACTTCTGGCTTTTTCAGAGGGTCCTCCTGCCTGGAGCTATTAAGGATTTTTATTCGTATTATTATTTTTTTTAACAAACTTATCCCTTTGACTAGAGCCAGAAGCTTTGAAGTTAGTTGTTGATAACAAACCTGTACCTGATGGGCAACCTGGACATTTGACTGAATTTTCCACTTGGACTACCTCAAAAGTATTATCATACTAGTCTCTGGTTCCAGTAAAGACAGACTTCCTGGAGTATTCTGAATTGGATTCTCTTGGCCTACTGGGCACAGAAAATCCTGCCAAATTAGACCTGGATTCCTGGACTCCTGATTTACAAAAAGTACAGCATGGCATATTTGATATCTATGACCTTCTTTCATATCCACTGATAGTAAAAGTTCCTTGTTTTCCTCTAATCTTATTAGCAAAATTTCCTTTGAAAAAAACAGAAAAGGAGTAGAGATGATAATAAGAGAATGAGAAAAGTAACTACCTTTGAAAGCAAGTCCTAAAAGAAATAAACAGGGATTTTGCTTAGGAAAAAAGCTTTTTCAGGAATTGTATTTTTGTTTTCGTTTTTATTTTTATTGACAACTAGGTAGACCAAAATTAAGAAGCTATGAATTTAATCCCTGTTCTCCCAGGGCTTATAAATGCCAATTTATTTTTTAAATATTTCTAGCATATGTGATTTCATTAAAAAAATTCTAATTACTTTTTAATTTTATGTTTCTATGTTTAGGGATAACATTCACTACTTCTGTGACTAAAATTAATGGTAAGAAACTAGTTATAATATGTGTTAATATTGATTTAGAAACTTTTTCTGAAAAGAAATAAATGTCAAGCTAAATTGTGATTACAAGGACTGGTAGTTTCCAAACTTTGCTCAATATTGGAATCACCTGAGAATCTTTAAAAAGTATTAATGGCTGACTCCCACCCTCACATTCTTATTTAATCCCTATGAAGTGCAACCTGAACATCAAGATTATTAAAAATTCTCCAGGTAAATAGCTAATCTAGTGGAGTCAAAAATACGCTGGAAGTCTGAAGTCCTGAGTTCAAATTCAATCTCTTGCTTATTGACTGTAGAGTTTTGAGCAACTCAGATGACATCTCCAAGCTTTTTTTTTCTTATCTGTACAAACAGGATGTTGATAATACATTTTCTATCTCTATTATAGGAATTTTGTGGAGATTAAATAAGATACTATATAGGAAGTCATTTTACAAATTATTATCAAGTTAAAGATGAAATGATACATAAACATGAATTATTTATATTATATATAAATATATATATATACAAAGAAATTTATTATAAGGAATTGGCTTACAAGATTAAGAAGGCCAGCAAATCTAATATCAACAAGGTAGGCTGTCAGGCCAAAGACCCAGAAGAACCAATGTTCTAGTTCAAGTCTAAAGGCCATATCCTTTTGTTAGGGAGTTTGCGGGGGTGGGATGGGAATGTGGTGTTTTTTTCTATTCAGGCCTTCAAGTGATTGGATGATATCCACTCACATTATGAAAGGCAATCTCCTTTATTCAAAGTCTACCAATTTAAATGTTAATTTTATCCAATATTACCTTCAGAGAAACACCCAGAATAATGTCTTACCAAATATCTGGGAACCCCCCAGCCCAGCCAAGTTGACACACACAATTGTTCAACACAGTATTATTATTACAATTTTTAACAGGTCACACTGAAAAAAAATCCCATGAACATACTAGACCAACCCAAAATGCAGGATTATAACTACTGAGTTGTATTTTTGGCCCTCTTCTTCACCTCAACTTTGTCCCAAATATGTTGACATATATTGTGATTTGAAGGACAACAAACAGAACTTCTCTCAAATCATCAGAGGAAAGTCAATTTAAGAGAGAAGTCTTCAACTATAAGTGATTTTTGCCCCCTTAACTCCAGAGTTACACCTACGAAAAAAAGTATCTCAGATTCCAGTGGCACCAAGACTGGCCTTATGAGTAGGTGGTATGACTGAGAAATACCAAGAGGCCCACCTGCCAAATACATCTTCCCTTAGGGACATTCCTGGAATTATCATCATTAAAGACAAAAGAGAAAGACCACTTCAAAATGCATAGAAGTGTTAGCATATAATGGATTCATTTAACAGGTTGACTAGAATATGAATAAAAATAGCTTTTTAAGATGGAAAAAGTGGTTACTCTCTCATCTTTGTCCTGGCAAAAAAATTTTTCTTTACCAGATAAAAATCAGTGTGGCTAAATTAGTCTACTTCTTTACTTGAACTCAAATAGAACATATACTATTGGCTATTATGACTTTATTATCTGATTCCTTGCTACCTTGTCCACATTTTTCTAGGTGGCCACATTTGGTTCTCCACAATAGGACCTACAGTAAGCTTAAGAAAGATTTCCTAATTTTCTTAGTAAATATTGGTGGAGTTTGTGGGCTCTTTGTCTTTGTTATTTAGAGAAAGCATGAAGTTCAAGTTTTTAACCTTGAAAAAGTATACAAATTGCAAGTAGAAAGCCATCAAATCAGTTGGTATACAATAATATTTGCAATTAAAACTCTAACATGAATAAGAGATTTTTTGAGGAATATGTATATGATGTTTTAGGAACATCTAAAATTACTTCTTGTGCTTATGAACATGTATTTTATATTCCATGAAATTCTAGGAATCAAAAGTAAGTTTCTTATCCATCCTTAGCTCTTGAACCTGATCTTAAATATTAGCCTCTGAAACTCCCTGGGTAAAATCACCTGAGTCCAATTCTAAAAATAAGCATATTTTC